GGGAGGGCCAGGGAAGGAGAGGAAGAGCCTGGGAGCACGAGGAGCAGGGGAGGCTCAGGCAGTGCCAGGTGACAGGGGGAGCACTGGCCCTACCGCGTTCAGTTCCCGCACGTCTTCCTCCTGCTCCAACCTCATCCTTGCCGCCCGCTGCAGCAGCTTCTGCTCCTCCTGCTGCAGCTCCTCCTCCACGTCTCTCCGATGGTCCCTCTTGTCTTCCAGTTCTGCCTTTCTCTGCTCCTCGATCTGGGCCTTTTTCAGGGCTTCCTGCGGAGACAGACAGCACTGCCCAATCCCGGACACCTTCTCGAGGGCCCGCAGGGGTCACACTTCAGGTGCCGCATTCCCGGCACTGAGTGGGGACATGTCGGGCTCGTGGGGCCCTGGCACAGCCATGGGCACCCCTCCCCACACCTCTGGGCAGATATCCTGTGCCTTTGGAAGGCTGGCAGTGCTGGGCATAATTTCAGGGATGCTGCCCAGCTCTCAGTGGAGCCCTGAGCCCTGCAGCCTCCCCTATGCCCCAAAATGTGGCGGACAGAGGGAGGGCCCCCGTCAGGAGCCACCACCCCTCAAACCCAGCTGTGGAGCAGGAAAAGGGGAAGCAGGAAGGGAAATGCCTACAAAAGCTGCATCCTGTCTGGCTCTCAGGGTCTTCAGCCTGTCCCAGCGCTCCACCTCAGTTGGGGCTCGAGCTGATTCTTTGATCCTCTCGTATTCCTTTTCTCCAATGATGAGACATGGTTTGGGCCTCTCCTGGGGAATGCTGGGGAGCCCAGGGAGAGAGCTCAGTGGCATGGAGATGCCAACAGCTCCCTGTGCTCCCTGAGCTGCCCACTCAGCCACCAAGCCAGCCCAGATCAATTTGGGAAGTGCTGGGGAAGCCGTGGGGACCTGGCTGTCTTGTTTTGGGGTGAGGCAGGAAGGGAAAGTGTAGTGAAAGTGGCACCAGGCTGGGATGCAGGGGGCAGGATCCCTGGGAGTGGTCAGGGCACACTGCCAATCCCAGAGATATTGGAATGCTGCACTGACACCCATACCCCCAAAACCCTCAGGGCTTAAGCACAGCTTTACATGAGCTCCCGGATCAGGTCCTTGGCGATGATTCTGGTGCTCTTTGGTTTGTATCTGACAGAGGGCTGCAATTCAGGCTGTTTGGGCATATCCCGAAGGATCACAATGGGGCTGCTGTAGCCCGTGACCTGTGGGAAAGGACAATGTGAGGATATGAAATCCCCACACTCAGTGCTCCCTGGACACCAACTGATCCTGGGAGGAGCTCTGGACCCTGGGTCAAGACATGCCCTCGGGTCATGGACCGAAGGTGCCAGAGGGGCTGGGGGTCAGGGGGAGATGGGGACAGACCTTGGGAAGGAGGGACTGAAATCCTGGTGGGGGAAGCCGCTGACGGCGGGGAAGGAGGGACCCCCGGGAGGAGTTTTCCAGACAGAGGGACTGAGATCCTGAGCCGGCAGTTGCAGCTGCCATGGCGCTGTCACACAGCGTGGGAGGTATGACAATGTCCTGGAGCTGACATCCCAATGTGATGGGACTGACGGCTGGCATGTGTCTGAACCGATTGTGACAGCACGCCCAAAGCCACCATCACGACATGTTGGGACTGACTGTTGCCATGGCAGCGCCCCAGCAGATTCCAGGACTCCCTGCATGTCCTGCAGCAGATGGGGATGGGGGACAGGGGGCGTTGTGTGGAGCTGGGAAGGGCAAATCCAAGGGAAGGCAGAGATGGAATTGTGGCAGCCAAGAGGAGCTTGAGTGTTATAGATACATAGTATAATATTGGCTTTTTCCAAATATTACAATGGATTTTATATGTGTGGTGTTAAAGTAACTTTGTTATAAAGATATAATTTTTATTTGTGTTGTTAATTGAGCTTAGACATAATAGTGAAATAGCTGATATAAGCATGTTTGTGTTAAAAGGCCTGCTGGGATGGGATAACATCCAATGAACACAGGATGAGGACTCCTGCTGCAGATTTGCCAACTATCAGCACTCACCATCTGAAGACTGTGTGGATGGACATGGACCAAGGTCAAAAAACTGGAGGTGATAGGAATGGACTAAAACCACAACCACACATGCTCTAAAAAGGCAAATCCAAGGAGGAGATATGTTAAATAGTTCATGGAACATGTAAACTAGTTTGGGGAAAAGTTTACTATGCATAAGGGTCTGTGACTATACAACAGGCTGGTGTAAGGAAAAAGGTATTTAAGAGGTATCCCTGAAGGTGACAGTGCGCTCTTGGCTGAGTGTCAAGATGCACCCGTCCGTAATAACCTCTGATCTGTGGTCCTTGTCTCCTATTGTCCTTTCTTCAACTTTTACAATTTTCACAAGAGAATGAACATGTTTTTCACACTGAGGCTGGGAGACGAACAGCCCTGCAGGGAGGAAGGAGGGGCACAAGGGGCTCCAGAGATTCCCCCACAGCCCATGGGGGTCCCCGGGGAGCAGAGACCCACCCTGGAGCCCCTGGCTGAGCAGGTGATGCCCGAAGGGGTCTGTGAGCCCATGGGAAGCCCCCACTGGAGCAGTTCCCGAGGCACTGAGCCCAGGCAAGGAAGGGTCCCAGCCTGGAGAAGCTGGGGCAGAGCTGCAACCCATGGGAAAGCCTCCCACTGGAGAAATCCCTGGAGAAGGGTCTCCCATGGAAGGCAGGGACCGCACCTTGGCAGAGCAGGGCAAGGACTGTAACTGCTCTGGCTGAGCAGCAGCAGAAACATCCTGTGCTGAACTGCCCAGGGCCCCTCTTCCCACCTCCCTGTGCCAATGGAGGGAGGAGAGAGAGCCCAGGAAGGAGTTTGGGGTGGGAGAAAGGTGTTTTGAAGGGTTTATTTATTTAACTTTTCCTTATCCTGCTCTGATTTTGTCACCAATAAATTCAATTCATATTGCTAATTCTGAGCCTGTGTTTCCTGTGTTGATGAGTGATCCCTCCTGGTCCTTGTCTCAACCCAGGAGCCCTTTGTTCAATTTTCTCTCCCCATCCAGGTACCGTGGGCAGTGAGAGAGCAGCTGTGGTGGGTGCGGGGCATCTGGACACTGTGAACGCACAGCAAGGCACGAAGGAGGAGGAGGGTCCAGGCCAGGTTGTTGACTAGAGTGTTGTGGGATTTGCAGTAGTTTTGTGGTTCTCTCAGACCCTTGGGGACAGGGACAACATGATCAATTGCTGCATTTCCAGACTGGTTCCCCCAAAGCTGCCCCTGCAGGGGGGGTATCAAGCCAGCCCTGCCCTGAAAACCATCAAAGGCCCTTGCAGAGCCACTGCTTGGGCTCCCTTTCGGTTTTGAGCTTTTTGCAGGGCTGAGCAAACCACAGCCAGGCCATTTCCCCTCACAGAATTCTCACCTCTGCAGCAGCTCTAAAGCTGCCAGAATCAAAGCCAAGGGGGTGGGGGGGACCCTCAGGTCCTGGCTGCCACCTGGGGCCGGCCAGAGCAGGGCTGGGCAGTGGCCACCCCTGTGCAGTGGGGCTGGGCCATGGCCACCCCTGTGCAGTGGGGCTGGGCCATGGCTGGGCTCCAGCCTTGGATGGCCACTGGCTTCAAGGAACAGGAGTTTGGGAGCTCCTTCCAGCCTGGGGCTCCACTCCCAGGGCTGCAGGTACCTGCGCTGTTCTGCGGAAGCGGCCACGGGTGCGTTCCTGCTCTCGTGTGCGCTGCACGGCTGCACCTGGCAAAGAGCGAGCGCAGCCCGAGCTGAGGGGCTGCGGGAGAGGCCGGAGAACACAGCCCAGCCCTGCACTGCCCAGGCAGGGACAGCCCCGCGCCGCCCCAGGGCATGGAGCACGGCTGTGGGGTGTCTGCCCGGCCCCTATTCCATCCTGTCCATGGGCATGGCCCCAGGGGATGGGATGGCATGGCATGGCATGGCATGGCATGGCATGGCATGGCATGGCATGGCATGGCATGGCATGGCATGGCATGGCATGGCATGGCATGGGGCCAAGCTGGCTGCAGGCACCAGCCCTGTGGCCCAGCTCTGCCACTCACCCTTCTGTGGTGGCTGGAACTGCTCCACCTCTTCAGGCTGCTGTGCTGGGGCAGCTCCAGGGCCTTCTTTCTCCTCCTTCCCCAAAGCCAGCTTGGGCACGCTCGCAGGTCTGTGCTCTGCGTCACTGCCTGGATTCATGGCTACTTGCAGAAGGTGAAAAGGAAAAGGTCCAAGTCAGCAAGAGCTGCATTTGTGCCTTGAGGGCACCTGCAAGAATGAAGTCTTGGCAAGGCTACAGGACAGCAAGTCCTGCACTCTGGTCTTGGGGGCTCCAGCCACAAGGACAGGTACCAATTGGCCGAAGTTTGGCTTGCACCTCCAAAATCCCATCATCGAAGCATTGCTCCTGGAGGGAAGCTGCCAGGACAGACGGGTCAGGCTGGGCTCGGCCTCTCGGAGCTGCCCCTGAGATGGGGGTGGGAAACGTCCCTTCCTGGGGGAAAGAATTGTCAGAGAATATCCCGAGGTGCCCCCGAGAGGGGCATCGAGTCCAGCTCCCACCCGGGATCCTTTCCACACCCAAACTTTTCCCAAGATCTGTAATTATTTGGGGGGGGTTAGTTAATTTTATAGAGTATTGGGTTCTCTTGATGAGTTAGTGTAGTGGTAGAGTTTTGTTTGGTTTTTTTTTTTATAAATGTTCGGGATCTGTTGTATGGTTTGGAGTATAGGAAGTTAGTTGGAGAGTTTTTCTTTCTTTTTAATGGTTTTTGTGTTTTGCTGTGTGGGTTTCTATAGGTGTTTGTTTTTTTTTTTAATTAATGTTTCATTTTTGTGATGTGATAAGAACTGTTAGTGAAAGGAGTGTAGTGCGGGTTTTTTTGCTCGTAGTTGGTTGGCTGATGGAGCCTTTCTGAATTTTTTGGATGGTATTGTTGGGAATTTGATGCTGTTTGTTTTGGCATTTTATTTTTAGGAATTGGATTATAACTGCAAAGTTTTAACTATAACTCTAATGAAACAAAACAAACGCATAAATATGAAAATGGGAATATAAAACTTCAATTTTAAATATAAATGGAATACATATAAATAAAACATGTAATATAAATAATGTTATCCATTACTATTAGGTAGTATATTGTTTGATATAGAGTATTTTATTTGTTTATACAAATACATATAAATATAGATTATAAATATAAACAAAATCCATTTAAATATCTATATAGAGATGTATAATTAATACATGTGGATATATAAATATAAAAATTACAAAACAATAGGAATCAATACAGTACACAATGCATATTTTACTGTATATGTCTTATTAAAACACATTAGATGTCCTAAATATTATATATCGAAATACAGTACCTCAATATATTGTGATAGAATATATAAGTACTTGCAAAAATCAAAAATATAAATAAAGAAATATTTAAATATAGTTTAAAATAAAGGGGATTTTATTTTCTATTTGGTAGTAGGTAGCGGTTTTGTTATAAAAACTATGAATAAAAATAAAATTAGAAATCTTTGTATAGAAATATATCCTAAATACGTTAAGATCTATATAAAAATTCAAAGCTGAGTAAATATAAGTATTACCGGTATCTATGAAATAGAATTTAATTAAAAATTTATCTATCTTGCTACCTCATTATATATAATATATATTTATAAAGACATCAATATAAAGTAGAAATGCAAATGTGACTATAATGATGAAAAAAATATATAAATATTCAAGTATCGTTTATAGAAAGGACTTTTTTGTTTTTATTTGGTTAGAGGCAGGGCTTTAATGGAAAAAATATGAATATACATTTTATTTTGATATCGTTCTAAATATGGAAATATATATTCAATGTATACAAAGATATATAAAAGTATAAAATAGAAATAAAAATAAATATTAGGAAGAGATAGACTATAAATAACACCGTACATCAATCTACATTTAAAATGTAAATTTGAATATAAATGCGAAAAATAGAGATAAATTTAAACCGAGTTTAAATAAAGGGGTTTTTTAAGAAGATTTTTACATGGATAGAGGCAGGGGTTTATTTTAAGCAATATAAACCTTTCAGAAATCTAAATCTAACTATAGAAATATGTAAGCAATATATTAAGAAATGTATAAAAATATCAAGGGTCTGCAGGGGGTCAAGCCCCTTGAAGGCGCCAGGGAAGAGCACGGCCACGCGATTGTTGCGCAGGTTGAGGTCGCCCAGCTGGTGCAGGTCAGCAAAGGAGCCGGGCAGGAGGTCAGTGAGCAGGTTGTTGTCAAGGCGTAGGTGCCGCAGGTCGTGGAGTCCACGCAGCGCTGCGCGGTCCAGCCGTGCCAGCCCGTTCACATCCAGCCGCAGCTGCCGCAGCGCCGGTGCATTGTCAAAAGCACCTGCGCCGGCCACCAGGATGCGGTTGAAGCGCAGGGACACGTTGTGCAGCTGCCGCAGGACTGGGGACCCGCTGCACGATGGCAGCCGCTGCAGCAAGTTGTGCTCAGCCACCAGCTCGCGCAGCGCTGCGTGCTGTGCCCGGTTCAGCAGCCGCCCTACGCAGCCCAGGTGCCGCAGCCGGTTGCCAGATAAATCCAGGGCGCCCAGCACCGGACACTCGGCCAGAGCCCCATCGGGCATTGCTGTGAGCCCCATGCGCTGCAGCTGCAGCCTCTGCAGCTGCTGTCCTCTCAGCTGCTGGCACAGATATTCCAGGCCGCTCGTGCCCACCTGCAGCCCTGACACGTCCACCTGGCGCGGGGAGATTCCAGCCACGCGCAGCAGCTGCGCTACGTCCAGCGGGTTCCCAGCCAGGTGCAGGAATGTCAGGTTGCTCAGGCACAGGCGAGCGAGCGGCGCAGGGTCTGAGATGTTGTTGTAGGACAGGTCGAGCACGCGCAGCCCTGAGGGCATCACCCCAGGGGTGGCCCCTGAAAGAGCTCCCAGGGAGTTGTTGCAGAGGCGCAGGACCCTCAGCGTGGGCGGCAGCCCCGGGCCCAGTGTCGACAGCATGTTGACGCACAGGTCGAGCAGGTCTAGGTGCGTCAGATTCCCCACAGCCACGGCCACGGGCTCCAGCGCGCGGAGCCGGCCATCCCGCAGCCAGAGCGTGCTGAGCGCGGCCAGCGGCTGGAAAGCCCCGGGGGCCACTTTCTGTAGCGGATTGTGGTCCAGCCGCAGCGTGCTCAGGTTGCCCAGCCCAGAGAACACACCCGTGGCCAGCACTGACACGTTGTTGTGGGCCAGGTCTAGGTGCACCAGTGCTGACAGCCCCCAGAAAGCCCCTGGGGCCAGGTGTTCCAGCTGGTTGTGGGTCAGATCAAGGGTGTAGAGCTGCGGCAGGTGGGCAAAGGCACCAGGGGGCACCTGGCGCAAGATATTGACAGAGAGGTTGAGGGATGTGGCAGTGGAGGGGAGGTCGCCCACTGCAGCCCCCACGGTGCTCAGGAAGCGCTGGATGCAGCGGAACAGACCGGGGTCCCACGGTGCCTGGATGCAGTTGCGGAAGCCGTAGGGAGAGACCCCTTCAGGCACCATCACCAGTGTCACCAGTGCCACCAGCAGTGGGGTGCACATCCTGACTCACTCTGGGGAGATCCTGGATGCAGTGGGGGACAGAGGAGGAGGAGGCATGTCCTTGGTACCACAGAGACTGCCCTCGAGGCCCAGGGGCCACACTTGGGGCTCAGGGATCCCCACCACCCTAGGGATTCCCCTTGTGACCCAGAGACCCCACCACCATCCCGAAGACCCAACTCGGGGCCCAGGGACCCCCCATCCACACCCCAGAGACCCCACCAGAACACTGGGACTCCCACTCTGTGTCCAAGGACTCCTCGTCCACACCCCAGGGACTCACACACGTACTCCAGGGACTCCCTTCAGGGCCCAGAGGACCTCCCCACCCCCATCCACAGCCCAGCAGACACACTCCAGGGACCCCCACCAGAGCCCAGGGACCTCCCCTAGGGCCAAAGAACCTCCACACACCCCAAGGACCCCTTGCCCCCCAACCCCCAGGGATTTTGGGGACCACCCTGCTCCCCATCAGGTTCTCACCGTGCCACTGCCTCTGCTTTGGGTGATTTTGGGGTTAGAAATGGGAAGTTTGGGGTATCGCTTTTTGTCACCACTGCCCCACCCACCTCCCTGTGACGTAGGTGGGGGAGGCCCCTGCCCAGACGGATTTAGGGGTCCCCGAGGGGCTGGCAGGGCTACAAGTCCACACAGGTGGGTCACCGTGCCTCGGTGCAGACTCCCGGAGTCTGGGGGTCCCTGGGACACCCAAGCCTCTTCGCCCCCGCCGTGCCATCCCCCTGCTGCCACGTGCTGCTCTCGGTTCCTCTTCCCCTTCCTCAGACTGAACCAGCTGCTTTTGGTTCCTTCAGGGAAAACACCGGGCTGGACTGGGTTATACGTTCTTATACTGGGCTATACTGTACTATATTGCTCTATAGTGGGTTGTGCTGGTTTTACTGAGTTATACTGGACTCTACGGGGTGCTAGTGGGCAGTACTGGGCTGCAGTGGGCCATACTGGTCTGTTCTGGGCAGTACTGGGCAGTACTGGGCCGTACTGGTCTGTACTGGGCCGTACTGGTCTGTACTGGTCTGTACTGGTCTATACTGGTCTGTACTGGTCTGTACTGGTCTATGCTGGTCTGTACTGGTCTATACTGGTCTATACTGGGCTGTACTGGTCTGTACTGGTCTGTACTGGTCTATACTGGTCTATACTGGTCTATACTGGTCTGTACTGGTCTATACTGGGCTGTACTGTTCTATACTGGTCTGTACTGGTCACTACTGGTCTATACAGGTCTGTACTGGTCTATACTGGTCTGTACTGGTCTATATTGGTCTGTACTGGTCTGTACTGGTCTATACTGGTCTGTACTGGTCTGTGCTGGGACAGAGTTGTGGTCCCGCTGCGGCGCAGGGGGCGTGGCCTGATCTGGGGGCGTGGCCTGATCTGGGGGCGTGGCCTACCGAATGAATCCCCGCGCCGGGGGCGTGGCCTGCAGGGGCGTGGCCCGCGCAGCCGCGGGGAGGGGCCGGGCGGGAGGGGCGGGGCCGGGGCTGGGGGCGGGGCCGGGATGAGGGCGGGGCCGGGGCTGAGGGCGGGGCCGGGGCTGGGGGCGGGGCCGGGGCTGGGGCGGGGCCGGGCTGAGGGCGGGGCCGGGGCTGAGGGCGGGGCCCGCGGGAGGGGCGGGGCCGGGGCTGGGGGCGGGGCCCTGTCGGGAACGGGCGGGACAGTGCGGGTCCATCAGAATGGCGGGCGCATTTCGGTCTGGGGGTTACGGGCGGGCTCGGGGGATTTGGGGGGCTGCAGGGACCGGGGTGCATGGGGGAATCATGGGGGCGGGGCTGCAGGGACTGCGCTGTGCAGGGGCTGCAGCTTCCGCCCCGTGCCCGGGCGCTGGTGGTGCAAAGTTCTCAGCGAACGCGGGGCGGGCACCCCACATCTGAGCCCAGGAAGGGCTCGGCCCCCCCGGGCGATGGGCTGGAGCTGGAGTACGAGATGGTGCTGAGCACCGGGGATTCCTTCCGGACGCGGCGCCTCTCGGCTGATGAGTTCGGTGCGGCCGCGCTGGGGAAAGGCAGTGCAAGGGGGACTGGTGTGCATCGAGATCGGGGGGGTGTATTGGGGGTTATGGAGGTCTGAGGAGGCTTATTGGGCTCTGGAGGGGATGAGGGATTGGTGTACATCAGGGTCTGGGGCTACATGGGGAGTTATGGTGGTCTGGGGGGCTGCAGGGATTGGGGCACATTGAGATGGCGACGTATGTGAGGGTCTGGAGGACTGTTTAGGGGTTTGGGGGGTTGGAAGGATTGGGGTGCATCAGTATGGGGGATATATTTGAGGTTATTGAGGTGTGAGGAAGCTGAAGGGGTTGGGGTACGTAGGGAATTAGGGTGGGGTTGCAATGCGGAGGTCGTCTGTGGATACCCTGGTGGGTATTGGGGGCTTCATGGGGTGAAGCCCTTCTCACCCTGCCCCTCACCTTCCCCAGGTATCCTGGAGACAGACATCACCCTCGTCCTCATCATCATCCTCACATTACTCATCAGTGAGCAGCTGGGGGAGATCTGAGCTTCAAGGGGGCCTGGGGGAGGCAGTGCTCTGAGAGATCCTGTGCTCACCCCTCCAGTCCCCCCAGACCTGTCTAGGGTGGCAGCAGCTCCACACCACCTGAAGAGGCTTATGGTGGCTGCCAGCGTGGAGCATGAAGGGCGAGCTTGTGGGGCTGTGGGCAGGTTTGTGGAGTCCAGCAGCAGCTGCAGGGACTGGAGAGCATCGGGGTCTGGGGAAGTTACATTGGGATTTGGGGGATCTTCAGAGACTGGGAAATTCAAGGTCCAAGTGGCATATTGAGATTTGATGGGGCTGGGGGTTCTGGGTGGGTTTGGGGGGGCTTTTCCAGCAAAGTATAGGGGGTATGGGGGAGCACAGGCGCACTTTGAAGTCATGGGAGGTAATGAGGGGCTTGGGGGAGTACAGGAGGTGTAGGGATGCACAGACCCTCCCGTGGGGGATGTGATGAAGGGGGGTGCCCAGCCCTCCCCATACTCCCATGCTGGCTGCTCCCTCCACCCCATCAGCTTCCTCATCTTCCTCCTCATGCTCATCCTGCTGGGCAAGTACTTTTCCATCACAGGTACCACAGAGGGTATGGGGAGGTGACTGGGGGGCTCTGGGGCAGCTGTGGGTCACTATGGGGCAGTCAGGGGCCCCTATAGAACATTTGCCGGGGGTCTGTGGGGTAGTTTGGGGGTCTCTATGGGGCACCCACAGGGTTGGTGCTTTCAGGGACCACATCATACTGGGGAACTCCATCCAGCTCTCCATGAACATCACCCTGTACAGTATCACCCATATCACTGTGCTCGCCTACAAGGCCCAGGTGAGACCCCTACACCCACCTGTATTTGTGCAGTATAGAGAGGGTTTGTGGGTATTTGGGGGGTATTTTGGGATGCAGGGGCTGTTCTTTGACCACATTTTGGGGGGGGTCTGTTCTTTGACCACCATGAGGTGCTTTATAATTGAGGTTCAGATGAGACCCATGTGCCCAGCTGTATTTGGGGAATACGGGAGGCATTTGAAGGGATATGGGGTATTTGGATGGTGTTAACTTTGTGGAGTTTATCTTTGGGGGGAAAGGCAGTTTTTGACCCTAGTTGGGTGATGTACCCCTACAAGTCACCTGCGGGGCACAGGCTCATCGTGCTGCAGTTCAGGGCCTTCAGCTGGTTGTGCAGTGCCATTTCCATCACTGTCACCATTGTCCTTGAGCACCGCTACTTCTACCTGCCCTTCCTGGGGGCTTATGCCCTCTGGTGAGTCCTGGGGTACCTGGAGGACACCTGAGGTCTCTCACACAAGGGTCTCTCAGGGGGGTCTCATGAGGGTCTCACAGGGGTGTCACAAGGGTCACTCTCATAGAAGTCTCAAAGTGGTCTTGCAGGCAGAAAACTCTTCAAGGAAAAATGCCACTCAGTTTCCACTGGGCAAGTCCTCAGGCAGAATTGAAGGGCTGATGTTACTTCTGACCCTGTGAAAGAGACCTCCAGGTCATATTTACAAGAGGCGAGCAACAAGTACCATGATCAGAGCTGGAGGGGCCCTGGCTCCAGCCAGGTGTGGGAAAAGGACAGTGGGGTCTGTTGGATTGTGTGGATCCATGGCCTGGCACAGCAGAGCCACAGGAGCACAAGGCCTTAGTTGACATGGGTGGACAATGTACCCTGATGCCGTCATGCAGGGGCAGAATCCATCTCTGTTTCTGGGATGACAGGGGGGTCCCAACAGGGACTATACTGGAGGCTGAAGTGCTCCTGACTGGGTATGAGTGGCAGAAAAACGCCGTTGTCGCTCTGTGTATCCTTGGCATAGATCACCTCAGGAGAGTTATTTCAAAGACCCAAAAAAACACCACTGGGCTCTGGGAGAGCTGCTGTGGGGAAAGAAGAAATTAAGACAGCTGAATCCCTTGTTTGGTCTTTCAGAGGACCCTCCTGCTCTGGGACTGCTGAGGGTTGAAGAGCAGCAGGTACTGATGGCCAGCTGTCATGGTTTGACACTGGCACAATGCCAGTGCCCCCCATGAAAATGCAATTTCTCAACTGAATGCTGTGAAATGTGATCGAGAACAGAGCAAAGCAGGCCCAAGCCTAATAACAAGAAAAAAAAATTATTAAACTACTACCACTATGCTACTATAAAAGAGGGAAAAAAAAAGAAACACACACATAATTCAAAATTAAAACCTTCCAAAGCATTCCTTCTCTCACCACCCAACTCCAACAAACCACAGTGAGACACAATCTGGACCCCAATCAGGTTTCCACCCTCCAGATAATCAACACCCAGTCCATCTGCAGGGAGAGAGGAGTCTCTCTTGTGCCACAGACCTCGCCAAGAAACACAGCTGCCACATCCTGTGCTTCCATGTCACCACATGGCACCGCCCGGAGAAAAAAGTTTGCCAGTGGTGACCCTCTCCTTTCCATGCACAGTGCTCTCACCACCAATGCATGGATGGACAGACTGCTTTTAGGATTTTTTTCCTTTCAAGGATGCCCTGCCAAGAGGGGAAAACACAACAATTCAGTTTTTCATTTTTGGGACCAACAGTCCCCCCCATTTTCCCCTGGGGCCGAGGATCCAAGAACAGAGATCTTCTTCTCTTCTTCCTCTGCGAAGACAGGGGGCACCACCACAAACCTCCTTAACTTTTCTCTGTTGGCTCCACTTCTGTCTTTTCCCAGCTGCAGCAGGTCTCTTTGGCTCACCGGCATCCTCCTAAAATACAGTCTGTCTTGGAGGAGAAGATCAGTTCAGTCTGTGGCTAACAAGAAAAAGTCCAGCCAAAAAGCCACTCCATCATCTCCTCCCACCTAGAATTTCTCCTTCCAACATCCCAGGTCCCAGGCTGTCTCTCTTCTTCTCTTTTCAAACCGAGGAGGAGAAAAATTTCACAAAGCTTTCATTTCTCAGGAAGGGTTAAAAGTCCCGACTCCCAGAGACGGCTCGCTGCCCAGGCTCCAGCTCCCACAGCCCGGCTGGGCACCTTGCGGCCCCCCCGCTCTTCTCCTTCCCGTGGTAAACTGCTGACAAAAGCACCGCCGTTTCTTTTTCTCTCTTGGAAGAGAGAGAGACTCTGGGGGAAAGGGAGACATCCCAGATTTCTCCACCCTTCCATCTGCAGGGGGCCAGCCCGGGTTCCAGTCCCTCCACCCTTGGGCCTACCTCCGAAGGCCACATGGCTTCTCCCCTGCCCCACCCAGCTCGTGGCCGGGCAGGGGAGAGTCCTGCACTGACCGCTGACCGGAACCAAAGAGAGCAGGTTCTCCTGGGAATTCTGCTTTTAACCCCTCTGTGTTCTCAGAGGCGTGTCCACCTTCAATTGGTCAATGTCCAAATTGACTTCTTCTTTCCGGAAAAATTTTTTTTCCGTGTCAAACCACGACATCTTGTTATTAAGCTTGGGCCTGCTTTGCTCTGTTTTCGATCGCATTTCACAACATTCAGCTGAGAAATTGCATTTTCATATCCCTTCAAATGCCTCCCATATTCCCCAAATACAGCTGGGCACATGGGTCTCATCTGAACTTCAATTATAAAGCACCTCATGGTGGTCAAAGAACAGACCCCCCCAAAATGTGGTCAAAGAACAGCCCCTGCATCCCAAAATACCCCCCAAATACCCACAAACCCTCTCTATACTGCACAAATACAGGTGGGTGTAGGGGTCTCACCTGGGCCTTGTAGGCGAGCACGGTGATATGGGTGATACTGTACAGGGTGATGTTCATGGACAGCTGGATGGAGTTCCCCAGTATCATGTGGTCCCTGAAAGCACCAACCCTGTGGGTGCCCCATAGAGACCCCCAAACTATCCCACAGACCCCCGGCAAATATTCTATAGGGGCCCCTGTCTGCCCCATAGTGACCCACAGCTGCCCCCGAGCCCCCCAGTCACCTCCCCATACCCTCTGTGGTACCTGTGATGGAAAAGCACTTGCCCAGCAGGATGAGCATGAGGAGGAAGATGAGGAAGCTGATGGGGTGGAGGGAGCAGCCAGCATGGGAGTATGGGGAGGGCTGGGCACCCCCCTTCATCACATCCCCCACAGGAGGGTCTGTGCATCCCTACACCTCCTGTACTCCCCCAAGCCCCTCATTACCTCCCATGACTTCAAAGTGCACCTGTGCTCCCCCATACCCCCTATACTTTGCTTGGAAAGCCCCCCCAAACCCACCCAGAACCCCCAGCCCCATCAAATCTCAATATGCCACTTGGACCTTGAACCTCCCAGTCTCTGAAGATCCCCCAAATCCCAATGTAACTTCCCCAGACCCCGATGCTCTCCAGCCCCTGCAGCTGCTGCTGGACTCCACAAACCTGCCCACAGCCCCACAAGCTCCCCCTTCATGCTCCACGCTGGCAGCCACCATAAGCCTCTTCAGGTGGTGTGGAGCTGCTGCCACCCTAGACAGGTCTGGGGGGACTGGAGGGGTGAGCACAGGATCTCTCAGAGCATTGCCTCCCCCAGGCCCCCTTGAAGCTCAGATCTCCCCCAGCTGCTCACTGATGAGTAATGTGAGGATGATGATGAGGACGAGGGTGATGTCTGTCTCCAGGATACCTGGGGAAGGTGAGGGGCAGGGTGAGAAGGGCTTCACCCCATGAAGCCCCCAATACCCACCAGGGTATCCACAGACGACCTCCGCATTGCAACCCCACCCTAATTCCCTACGTACCCCAACCCCTTCAGCTTCCTCACACCTCAATAACCTCAAATATATCCCCCATACTGATGCACCCCAATCCTTCCAACCCCCCCAAACCCCTCAACAGTCCTCCAGACCCTCACATACGTCGCCATCTCAATGTGCCCCAATCCCTGCAGCCCCCCAGACCACCATAACTCCCCATGTAGCCCCAGACCCTGATGTACACCAATCCCTCATCCCCTCCAGAGCCCAATAAGCCTCCTCAGACCTCCATAACCCCCAATACACCCCCCCGATCTCGATGCACACCAGTCCCCCTTGCACTGCCTTTCCCCCAGCGCGGCCGCACCGAACTCATCAGCCGAGAGGCGCCGCGTCCGGAAGGAATCCCCGGTGCTCAGCACCATCTCGTACTCCAGCTCCAGCCCATCGCCCGGGGGGGCCGAGCCCTTCCTGGGCTCAGATGTGGGGTGCCCGCCCCGCGTTCGCTGAGAACTTTGCACCACCAGCGCCCGGGCACGGGGCGGAAGCTGCAGCCCCTGCACAGCGCAGTCCCTGCAGCCCCGCCCCCATGATTCCCCCATGCACCCCGGTCCCTGCAGCCCCCCAAATCCCCCGAGCCCGCCCGTAACCCCCAGACCGAAATGCGCCCGCCATTCTGATGGACCCGCACTGTCCCGCCCGTTCCCGACAGGGCCCCGCCCCCAGCCCGGCCCCGCCCCTCCCGCGGGCCCCGCCCCCAGCCCCGGCCCCGCCCCCAGCCCCGGCCCCGCCCTCATCCCGGCCCCGCCCCCAGCCCCGGCCCCGCCCCTCCCGCGGGGCCCCGCCCCGCTGCTGCGCGGGCCACGCCCCTGCAGGCCACGCCCCCGGCGCGGGGATTCATTCGGTAGGCCACGCCCCCAGATCAGGCCACGCCCCCAGATCAGGCCACGCCCCCTGCGCCGCAGCGGGACCACAACTCTGTGCCAGTACAGACCAGTACAGACCAGTACAGCCCAGTATAGACCAGTACAGACCAGTATAGACCAGTACAGCCCAGTATAGACCAGTACAGCCCAGTACAGACCAGCACAGAGCAGTATGGCCCAGTACAGACCAGTATAGACCAGTACAGCCCAGTACAGACCAGTACAGCCCAGTACAGACCAGTACAGCCCAGTATAGACCAGTACAGCCCAATATAGACCAATATAGACCAGTACAGACCAGTATAGACCAGTACAGCCCAGTATAGACCAGTACAGACCAGTACAGACCAGTACAGACCAGTATAGACCAGTACAGACCAGTACAGCCCAGTACAGACCAGTATAGACCAGTACAGCCCAGTGCAGACCAGTATAGATCAGTATAGACCAGTATAGATCAGTATAGACCAGTACAGACCAGTATAGACCAGTATAGACCAGTATAGACCAGTATAGACCATTACAGCCCAGTATAGACCAGTATAGCCCAGTACAGACCAGTATAGACCAGTACAGCCCAGTATAGACCAGTACAGACCAGTACAGACCAGTATAGACCAGTACAGACCAGTACAGACCTGTATAGACCAGTACAGACCAGTACAGACCAGTATAGACCTGTATAGACCAGTATAGACCAGTATAGACCAGTACAGCCCAGTAGAGCTCAGTATAGACCAGTACAGCCCAGTACAGCCCAGTACAGACCAGTACAGATCAGTACACACCAGTACGGAGCAGTATAGACCAGTATAGACCAGTACAGCCCAGTACAGACCAGTATAGATCAGTAAAGACCAGTACAAACCAGTACAGCCCAGTACAGACCAGTACGGCCCAGTACTGCCCAGTACAGCCCAGTACAGCCCAGTACAGCCCAGTACTGCCCACTAGCACCCCGTAGAGTCCAGTATAACTCAGTAAAACCAGCACAACCCACTATAGAGCAATATAGTACAGTATAGCCCAGTATAAGAACGTATAACCCAGTCCAGCCCGGTGTTTTCCCTGAAGGAACCAAAAGCAGCTGGTTCAGTCTGAGGAAGGGGAAGAGGAACCGAGAGCAGCACGTGGCAGCAGGGGGATGGCACGGCGGGGGCGAAGAGGCTTGGGTGTCCCAGGGACCCCCAGACTCCGGGAGTCTGCACCGAGGCACGGTGACCCACCTGTGTGGACTTGTAGCCCTGCCAGCCCCTCGGGGACCCCTAAATCCGTCTGGGCAGGGGCCTCCCCCACCTACGTCACAGGGAGGTGGGTGGGGCAGTGGTGACAAAAAGCGATACCCCAAACTTCCCATTTCTAACCCCAAAATCACCCAAAGCAGAGGCAGTGGCACGGTGAGAACCTGATGGGGAGCAGGGTGGTCCCCAAAATCCCTGGGGGTTGGGGGGCAAGGGGTCCTTGGGGTGTGTGGAGGTTCTTTGGCCCTAGGGGAGGTCCCTGGGCTCTGGTGGGGGTCCCTGGAGTGTGTCTGCCTGGGCTGTGGATGGGGGTGGGGAGGTCCTCTGGGCCCTGAAGGGAGTCCCTGGAGTATGTGTGTGAGTCCCTGGGGTGTGGACGAGGAGTCCTTGGACACAGAGTGGGAGTCCCAGTGTCCTGGCCGGGTCTCTGGGGTGTGGATGGGGGGTCCCTGGGCCCCGAGTTGGGTCTTCGGGATGGTGGTGGGGTCTCTGGGTCACAAGGGGAATCCCTAGGGTGGTGGGGATCCCTGAGCCCCAAGTGTGGCCCCTGGGCCTCGAGGGCGGTCTCTGTGGTGCCAAGGACATGCCTCCTCCTCCTCTCTCCCCCACTGCATCCAGGATCTCCCCAGAGTGAGTCAGGATGTGCACCCCACTCCTGGTGGCCCTGGTGACACTGGTGATGGTGCCTGAAGGGGTCTCTCCCTACGGCTTCCGCAACTGCATCCAGGCACCGTGGGACCCTGGTCTGTTCCGCTGCATCCAGCGCTTCCTGAGCACCGTGGGGGCTGCAGTGGGCGACCTCCCCTCCACTGCCACATCCCTCAACCTCTCTGTCAATATCTTGCGCCAGGTGCCCCCTGGTGCCTTTGCCCACCTGCCGCAGCTCTACACCCTTGATCTGACCCACAACCAGCTGGAACACCTGGCCCCAGGGGCTTTCTGGGGGCTGTCAGCACTGGTGCACCTAGACCTGGCCCACAACAACGTGTCAGTGCTGGCCACGGGTGTGTTCTCTGGGCTGGGCAACCTGAGCACGCTGCGGCTGGACCACAATCCGCTACAGAAAGTGGCCCCTGGGGCTTTCCAGCCGCTGGCCGCGCTCAGCACGCTCTGGCTGCGGGATGGCCGGCTCCGCGCGCTGGAGCCCGTGGCCGTGGCTGTGGGGAATCTGACGCACCTAGACCTGCTCGACCTGTGCGTCAACATGCTGTCGACACTGGGCCCGGGGCTGCCGCCCACGCTGAGGGTCCTGCGCCTCTGCAACAACTCCCTGGGAGCTCTTTCAGGGGCCACCCCTGGGGTGATGCCCTCAGGGCTGCGCGTGCTTGACCTGTCCTACAACAACATCTCAGACCCTGCGCCGCTCGCTCGCCTGTGCCTGAGCAACCTGACATTCCTGCACCTGGCTGGGAACCCGCTGGACGTAGCGCAGCTGCTGCGCGTGGCTGGAATCTCCCCGCGCCAGGTGGACGTGTCAGGGCTGCAGGTGGGCACGAGCGGCCTGGAATATCTGTGCCAGCAGCTGAGAGGACAGCAGCTGCAGAGGCTGCAGCTGCAGCGCGTGGGGCTCACAGCAATGCCCGATGGGGCTCTGGCCGAGTGTCCGGTGCTGGGTGCCCTGGATTTATCTGGCAACCGGCTGCGGCACCTGGGCTGCGTAGGGCGGCTGCTGAACCGGGCACAGCACGCAGCGCTGCGCGAGCTGGTGGCTGAGCACAACTTGCTGCAGCGGCTGCCATCGTGCAACGGGTCCCCAGTCCTGCGGCAGCTGCACAACGTGTCCCTGCGCTTCAACCGCATCCTGGTGGCCGGTGCGGGTGCTTTTGACAATGCACCGGCGCTGCGGCAGCTGCGGCTGGATGTGAACGGGCTGGCACGGCTGGACCGCGCAGCGCTGCGTGGACTCCACGACCTGCAGCACCTACGCCTTGACAACAACCTGCTCACTGACCTCCTGCCCGGCTCCTTTGCTGACCTGCACCAGCTGGGCGACCTCAACCTGCGCAACAATCGCGTGGCCGTGCTCTTCCCTGGCGCCTTCAAGGGGCTTGACCACCTGCAGACCCTTGACCTGGGCGGAAACAACCTGCAGCACTTGGCAGCCAAGGCATTCCAGGGCCTCCCGCGGCTTTGCTGGCTTTACCTGGACCGCAACCGGCTGCTGGAGGTGAGAGCGGCCGCGTTCCAGCCGGTGCAGCTGACGCTGGGTGTGCTGGACCTGCGTGCCAACGCGCTGCGCTACCTGAGCCGACATCTGCGGCAGCTGCCGCCTTTCCGCTACCTGCATAACCTCTACGACCTGAAGCTGCAGGCACAGCAGCCATATGGGTTGCGTGTAGTCCCACAACGCTTCTTCCAGGGCCTCGGTGCCTTGCGCTCGCTCTACCTGGCACAGAACTCGCTCTCTGCCATCCCTGCCGATGCCTTCGATGACCTGGCACGGCTGCGGTACCTGACGCTGGCCGACAGCAACGGCGGGATGGGCCACCTGCCTGCCGGCGTCTTCAAGAACCTGAGCCAGCTGCGCAGCCTGAACCTGGAGAGCGCAGGACTGCGCAGCCTCGGCCCCGAGGTCTTTGGCAACCTGACGCAACTGCAGGAGCTGCGCCTGGCCAAGAACGAGCTGCGTACATTGGATGGGACTCTGGCCACCCGCCTCCCCACCCTGCGCTATCTGGACCTGCGCAAGTGCCCACTGAGTTGCAGCTGTGACAATGCCTGGCTGCCTGCCTGGCTGGTGCGTGGGCCCGTGCAGGTGGTCTACCTGTATAACTACACCTGCGGTGAGATGGGTGGGGCCTCCACATACCTGCACTGCTTTGACACACGTGTGTGCTACCTGGACATGGGGCGGTACCTGTTTGCAGGGACAGCACCAGCCGTGCTGCTGCTGCTAGTGCTGCCACTGCTGTACCACCGTGGCTACTGGCGGTTGCGCTATCAGCTGTTCCTGCTGCACGCGTGGGCACGTGGGCGCTGGCGGCGGGAGCAGCGGCGCTACACCTACGACACCTTTGTGTCCTACAACTCCGGGGATGAGCGGTGGGTGCTGGAGGAGTTGGTGCCTGAGCTGGAGCGCGGAGCCCTGCGGCTCTGCCTGCACCACCGTGACTTTCGCCCCGGCCGCGCCATCGTGGACAACATCGTGGACGCCGTGTACAACAGCCGGCACACGGTGTGCGTGGTGAGCCGCGGGTACCTGCGCAGCGAGTGGTGCTCACTGGAGATCCAGATGGCCAGCTATCGCCTCTTCGATGAGCTGCGCGATGTCCTTGTCCTCATCTTCCTCGAGGACATCCCCGAGGCCGAGCTCTCGGCCTTCCACCGCATGCGCCGTGTGCTGCTGCGGCGCACACACCTGCGCTGGCCCTCCGAGCTCCCTGCACGGCCCCTCTTCTGGGCAAAGCTCAGGTGCGCCCTCAGTGCGGGGCAGGAGGAGGAGGACAGGGAGGAAGGGTGCCCTGACAGGACTGGGACCACTGTGGTAGTTCCCCCTCAGAAAAGCAGTTTTCTGCCCCAAAATCACTGGCTTTTCTCTTGGAAATATGCTTTGCACAATGGGGATGAACGTAACAAGAAGGAGGAGGAGGCAGAGGAGGACGAGGAGGAGGTGGGAGAAGAGGAAAAAGGTTGCCAGGAGAGAGAGAAGCTGCTCTAGAGTGACCTCACCCTGGTGTAATGGGGATCCCCAGGGACATTCCCAATCAAAAAAATGTGGGTTTGTCCCAAAATCCCCGGTTATCCTCTGAGAAACGTGCAGTTGGAACGATGACAATCAGGAAAAGAGGGGGCAAGATGGACCTCAGTGTTCAGATGCAGCAAATGCTTCATCACTCAGTTCCTTTTCCTGTCAGGAGAGCCTGGGGACAATGGAATCAAGGGGCCATTGCTCCATTGGAAGGACTCAGGGAACTGAGGGGACAATTGTCACACTGTGGTGCCCCATGGAACCAAGGGTCCCTGGTGACACTGAAGGATCTTGTGTCACCAGGGCTCCATCGTGACACTGCAGCACCAAGGAATTCATTGTGGCACTCGGAGGCCTCATGGAACCTTTTTTTTTTTTGACACACCAAATGGAGGTTGTCCTTACCCCTCCTTTTGCCATTAAGGTAGTTATAAAAACATTTTTATTCTTCTTCTTCACAGAAGTGGCTTGGGTAAATTCTAATTGCGCTTTCACCTCCCTAATTTGCTTTCTGCATGACCTAATAACATCCTTAAACATGTCCTGAGTTTCCTGGTCCTCCGTCCCAAGGTGATGCATCCTAATTTTTCCCCTGAGTTCCTGGAAAAAGCTCCATGCCCTGCCAGGCCAGTTGTTTTCCTTGCTAGCTCACTTTCGGTTATAGAGGGACAGGCTGTTGCTGCTCCTTCAACATTTTGTTCTTGAAGTGTGTCCATCCTTCCTGGAATCCTTGGTTTTTAAGGGCTGTTTCCTTTTAAAGCATCAGTACCTGATTTGGTACTCCCCAAATCAATCCTGAATAGGCTGAAGTCTGCTCTGTGTAACTCCAGTGTAGAAGATTTGTTGATGCCCTTCCCATCACAGAATATTTAAAAACTCAGTGATTCCATGACTGCTGTGCCCCAAACAGCCGCTGACCACCACATCTCCCACCAGCTCTTCTCTGTTTGTGACCAGCAGGAGACAGAGCTTTCCTTGGCAGTGGGAAGAGAAGGAAACCTCCCCAAAGCGCAGCTTGGAAGGTTCAGCCTGGAGCTGAGGAGGAAGAAAAGTCCCTGCCAGGGTAGAATTTTGGTGCTGGAGGTGTCCCAGCATGGGGCTGGGCCATGGGCTGGCTGTGGGTGCCAGGAGCCGGCAGCGCTGGGTGCAGGGAGCCCAGGGAGGGCACAGAAACGCTGGGTGTTATGAACAATTACAGTAGACTTTTTAATCCAATTAAAAAGATTTATTAATGGTAGGAAACGAAAGCAAATCAGCGCGCTGGGCAGCAGTTATTCTAACTACTGCATTTTCGTGCCCCATTCCCCCCCAACTTATTGGGTCTTCTCCTCCGGAAGTGTGACGTTCTGGTGTCTTTTCTGCGCAGGTGCACTCTGTTGCTAGGTGGTCGTTTTCTGCCTTTTGGTGGTCGTGGGATGAAGGCCAGTAGTCTTCCTCAGGCTTGTTTCTGTGATCTGGGAATTCTCTCAAAACAAGAAATGTTATCTCTAGGCACGTTTACTCGCATTCCACAGGATTACGGAACTGTCCTTGAAGATATTCGCTTAGGTGCTTTGATGCCTAACAACCTCAACTCCCTAAATTAGTTTTAACTCCCTAAAGCAGTGTGTAACGAAGTTGTCCTTGAGAGATATTCTGGAATGCTTGGCAAAATGAGAACATGTTCAGACAAGTGAAAACTCTAAGTGAAGATTCTATTCTATAGATGTGAAAACTCTATATTATGAACAAAAAGGCCTTATTTTCCTAACATTCAGACAAGTGAAAACTCTAAGTGAAGATTCTATTTTATAGATGTGAAAACTCTATATTATGAACAAAAAGGCCTTATTTTCCTAACACTGGGTGAGAAATGCTGGGGCACAGCGAGATGGGCGAGTGCAGCCGGCCAGGGCAGAGGAGCAGCGCGCACAGGGGCACAGCCGCAGGACAGATGGGCAGGGCTGGCAGGGCTGGCAGGGCCAGAGGCACCCAGGCCTTTGTCCCTGGGCTCGGGCAGCGCCTCGGGAGCCCCACAGAAGGAACTTCCCTGTGAGGGGCTGCCCTTTGCTCCTCCCTCGCCCTCCCTGAGGAGGCTGGCAGAGGCTGCAGGTTTATGGCATTTGTCCTTGCTGCCCCTCACATCCCCCTGCCCCACAAACAGCCCCGAGCCACCCATGAGGGACAGGCCCTGCTGTGCCAGGCTGGGCTTGAAACAAAAGATTTTCCAGAGATCACTTAAACTAACAAAATGAATGTATCAGAAATGAATGTATCAAAAATAGATGTATAAAAAGAATGTATCAAAAATGAGTGTATCAGAAATGAATGTATTATGTTTGTAGAATTGTGTGTTGAATTTTAAGAAACCCCTGCACAGAAGGGTATAGGAAAGAAAAACAAAGATCTCTAAAGCTGCTTGCAAAGGACAAATACCGGAAAGGACAAAGAATGCTAAGACCCCAGACGAGGAAGCCCTATGTCGCCAGCATGTCAAAAATGATGAACTTATCCAGATAAGAGAGCAAAGGACCAAAAGCACAAGCGCAGAGGAGGAGAGTTCAAAAGTTCAATGCTGAGGAAGACTAGGATATAAATAAAAAGACCACCAGGGACCCCCATAAGAAACCCTCACAAGGAACTACGCGTGCCCAGAAGGGTGTGGACCTATTTAGCATGAGAAGCGAAGACAGGTGGGGCCAGGGGTTGAATATGCATAGAAAAATTGTGTAATGTATTGCATATGTAACATCTTTGTGAATAAAGTCGGGGGGCAGACTTCAGCTCGGGGCACAAGATTTCGGAGAGTTATCTCACTTGTGCCGAGCGCTCCCATACATACCCACTTCATAACTACCTCGAGTTGTGGAGTCTATTTATTTAGTCCGAATATCGCTTCAGGCTCAGGGCTTGGCCTTTCTGCTTCCCCCAGCCAGCCCAGGCCTTGCTCAGCACTGCAGATCCCTGCTCAGAGCTTTGGGCTCCCTGCAATCCTGGCCTCCAGGATCTGCTCTCACCAGTCCCTGGGGAGCCTTTGGCAGTCCCTGCCCTCACTGGGGCCCAGGGATGCTCCGAGGAACTTGGAGTTTTGCTTCTGACTCCTTCAGCAGCTTCTTCATCCTCCTCTTGGTGCCTGAGGGTCCTGGACCCAGCCCCAAATCCACATTAAAATACAGAAAGCCCTCAGGGGCTCTTTGTCTTCCTTCCATTGTCTTCAAGTCTCCAGGGATTGTGTAGTTTCCAGTTCTGTTCAGGAGGGAAACTTCAAAACCCACCTCATGATTTTTATTTTTTAATCAAATGAGTATTTATTTATTTTCCTGTTCAGAGAAGAGGTGACAGAAGCATTTCCCAGATGATCTTGATGCTCAATGGCACTTTAGGATGTCTGGACATGGAGAAGAATGAGCTCCCTGAGGGCTGACCCTGTTTGGACAAGCTGCTCCTCACCCCCACCTCACCATGTCTGACATCGCCTGCTTGGGACTGACAGCCCAAAATATTTAAAAATTGTGCATTTTTCTTCATAAATAAAGGTTAATTAAGAAATACAATTATAATTATATTTTCTTATTTATAATTATATTATTCTGCATCTTTAACACCTAATTTTTTAAATTTATACCAAAAAATGTATATGTTTTAGTAAAGAAAAAAATTTTGGTCATGGGTTCTAAGTAACACAATTCCCTTCATTAATTTATTGACCACTTTTGGATTCTGATTTTGCCCTCTTTGCACTAATAACCCCTGGTTCTTAGCTTTTTGTCATTTTTTGTATTATTTTCTCAGATAGGGTAAAAGGGGCCACTTTGGGGTCCATGGAGACATTTCTGGGGCCACTTTGGGGTCCATGGAGACATTTCTGGGGCCACTTTGGGGTCCATGGAGACATTTCTGGGGCACATTTGGGGCAGTTTTGTGTCTGGGGAGGGAATTCAGAGAGAACTTGAGGGTCTGGGGGATACCTGGGGGAGCCGGGTGGGCACTTGGAGGGGCACTCAGGGATTCTGAGGGACAGTTCGGGTCCGGGGGAGCACTCGGGGGTTCAGGGGGGCCCTGGAGGTCAGGGAGGGGAATTTGGGGCCCTTCGGGGTTTGGGGGAGTACTCGGGGGTTCAGGGGGGCCCTTGGAGGTCAGGGAGGGGAATTTGGGGCCCTTCGGGGTCCGGGGGAGCACTCGGGGGTTCAGGGGGGCCCTGGAGGTCAGGGAGGGGAATTTGGGGCCCTTCGGGGTCCGGGGGAGCACTCGGGGGGCTCGGGCGGGGCTCGCTGGGGCGCGGGGGCTGATGGGAGTTGTAGGCGCGGGTACAATACGGTGTAACGGGGCCGCGGAGCATCACGGGAGTTGTAGGCGCAGCGACAGCGGCTCTCGGTGGGGCGCGGGGCATGACGGGAGATGAAGTCACGGCTGAAAAAGGGCTGGACGTGCGCCGCGGAGCATGATGGGAGCTGTAGTCCTGGAAGTGCCTCGGACGCGGCGTTTGGGGATCCGGAAAGGCCCTCGGGGGACACTTTTGCGTCCGAGCCGCGACTTGAGGTCCTCCAGGGAACGTAAACGGGAGCCTGGGGAGCTCTAACCGGGCTCCTTATGGCGCGGGACAAGGCAGGAGGTTTAGGCGCAGAACTGTGTTCTGAGGGGCTCTGGGGCCGCGGGGGACGAGAGCAGATGAACCCAGAGGTGGCTGTACTGGGCATCTGTGGGGCTGGGAGCACTCAGGGGAGCCGCGGACAATTTTGGGGGGTCCCGAATGGGCGCTGAGGAGGCACCCGGGGATCCTGGAGGATCTAGGGGACACTTATGGGACAGATAGGGGGCGGATTCCGGGGGGGGGGGGGGGGTGTCTTTCGAGCGCGAGGCATGATGGGCGTTGTAGTTCCGGCTCCAATGGTGCTCAACGGGGCCGCGGGGCAGGACGGGAGTTGTAGACAAAAAGAAAAGATGGCGCTGACTCCAGGCACCGCCCCTGAGGGCCCGATCCCTGGCGCTGATTGGCTGCAGGTGTTGATGGGCGGGAGCCTCGGCAAATGGGAGGCGGCGGATGCGGGAACAGCCCATTCAACCCCTCCAGTCCAGCCCAGTCTAGCCCAGTTCATCCCCAGTTTATCCCCAGTACAGCCCCAGTGCCCCTCCAGTCCCTCCCAGAACAGCCCAGTCCCTCCTAAGACACCTGAGTTTATTCCCAGTCCCTTCCAGTTTCCCCAGTGTCATCCATAGTCCGCTCCAGTGTCCCTCAGTCTTCCCCAAAATGTTCCCAGTGTCCCCTGTTTTTCCCTGTATCTCCCAGAGTCACTCCCAGTATGTCCCAGTATGTTTCAGTGTGTACCCCTGCAGTCCATCCCAGTCCACCCAGATTCCCCCTCAGCATTCCTGTGTTCCCAGGTTGTCCCAGTCCTTCCCAGTGTCATTCCTAGTATGTCCCAGTGTCTCCCACAGCATTCCCAGTGTCCCCCAGTATGTCCCAGTTCTCCCCAGTGTTTCCAAGGACAGTTTAATTTCTCAGGGCTGCCGTGGCAGCCAAACCCAGCAGTGGGGTCAGTGCAGTGTCCATGGCCACAGCCCCTTGCAGTGGCCCAGTGCAGGCTGGGCTGATGATCCGCCCTCACAGCTGGCCCAGGGCCGGTCTGGGTGGTTTGGGTGGCACCTTGGGCTGGCACACACCTGAGGAGGGTGTCTGTTTTCATGGGGAAAATCAGGAGTTTTAGATTGCTTCAAAGATAGAAAAAGGGAAAACCCCTCTTAGGCTGGGTGCAGCCAGCCCTGCAGGCACAGCAGGTCCCAGGTGAGTGAGGACACACAGGATGGGCCTGGGCAATGTGGAGCAAGGTTGTCCACGCTGGGCCAGAGCTCAGGGCACAGCTTCTCTGAGCAGGCCAGAGCTCCTGAGGGGAGACCCTGGCTCAATATCAATCACAGAATGCTGCAATCGCCTCTGCTCTAAAGAGAAATGTAATAAAATACACCCTTTATAACAGAAATGTGCATTTCTTAGACGCTCTTTTAATTATTTCTCCATAACTGGAGTAGGAAACGTTCCTGATGAACCGCCTCAGACCAGAGGGAAATCAAGGCAGAGCCGTGGTTTGTCAGGACTTGCTTGGTCCCAGTGAGCACCGTGGTGCATTTGGAGCTGAGCCCTTGGATCTCAGGGTCTGAGAGGAGATGGCACAAACCTTTCCAGGAGTCCAAGTCAGAGGAAAAACCCAAAGTGTCTCCAGGCATTACTGGGACCCACTGAGGTCCATCCCAACACAGGCTCCTCATGGACTCCTTGGAGGAGAGAATTGGAGGCCAGGATGGCAGAAAAACCTCTCAGAGACTCAGTGTGGGAAGGAAAATGCAAGGTACCTTAAACACCTTGAGTATCTCAAAGCATTAATGAGCCCCACTGAGTGTGAATGCAAAGCCTCTCTAGGGACTAATTACAGCAGATAATTGGGGCCATGATTGCACAAAACTATCAGAGACTCCAAGGAAAAGCCAAACCCAAAGTCCTTTGAAGAACCTGCCGTCCCTGGGAGCATGAAGGAGCCCCCAGGGCCATTCCTGGCCAAGGCTCCCCAGGGACTCCTTCCAGCAGATCCCTGGGGGGATGCTGAGGGCAGGACCAGGGGGTGACAGTGCCCAGCCTGGCTGGGGCTGTGCCAGGAGGCCCCAGGGCCTCAGGACAAGGTGTCTCCTCCTCACAGCCCTTGGTGGCACAGACCCTGCTGTGCCCCAGGGTACCAAGACTTGGCTTCTCCTGGGCACTGCCAGCCTTGCCAGGGCCCTTGGCCATGTCCTGCGCTGTCCCACAGCTGCTGCTGTGTCCCTGCAGGCTGCACACTCCCATCTCGCTGCCCCCTGGCTCTGCCCGGCATTTCCCTTTCTCTTCTCCCTGATATCTAGTGTTGGAACATCTGGGAAGGGTTCAAAGCTGTGCCGGGATGGTTTTGACTGGACAGAACAAAGGGCTTCTTTACTGAGAGGGTGGTCAAACACTGGAACAGGCTCCCTGCAGAGGTGGTTGATGTCCCAAGCCTGTCAGTGTTTAAGAGACATTTGGACAGTGCCCTGATGACTGCTGTAACTTTTGGTCAGCCCTGGAGGGGTCGGGCAGTTGGACCAGACCCTCATTCTGGTCTGAACTGCAGATCATTCCCAGCAGGACTATCCTGGTCCAGTCTGTCCCATTCCATGGTCATACCTGTACACGGATCCCTGCACAGCTGTGCTCGGACACTCGTCTGCTCAGCAGCTTCCCCTGGATTCCAGTCACAGCTGAGGCCTTGGGGCATCTGAGCCCTGAGCCCACGGCCCCATTCCAGGTGCTGGTGCAGACCAGACACACCCCACACCCCACACCCCCAAGTCCAGTCCCTCCGGTCACTCCGTGGCCAGCACCCTTGGCAGATGGGCTGTTTGGTGCCCTGCCCCAACTGCTGCCCTCACACCCCCAGGCTCCCATGCTGAGGCAGAACAAAGATTTGCTCACACAGGGGTAGAATTCAAGTGTAATGAGAAGGCAGGACAGACTGCTCTGCTTGGGATCCTCCCCTCACCTTCCCACAAGTCCTGTGCTATCTAAAACTGCTCTTCCCCTTCATCCCAAAACGTGTCCTACACGCCAGGGCAACAATCCCCTTAGTCCAAATGGTGAGCTGCTCTCAGTGAGTTTGGGGTTTCAAACCTGGACACGAGGGCCGATGGCTGTGCCAGGAAAGGAGCTGGGACAAGGTGTCCATTGCTCAGGAGCTGTAATTTGGATTGTCACTTGCCACTGTTCCTCTGAGCTCTTCTCTGTTTTGGAGATGGGCTCTTAATGAGCTGGTGGCTCTCCAGTGATGGGCCTGGGAGCAGCCAGGGCAGAGAATGAACTGAGTTTCTCCTCCTGCCATTGTTGGTGCCCTGTCTGGGTGTGCAGATGAGTCTCTTATCTCTTAACCTGACACAAGCCTGCAGGAGCATCAGTGTCCTGAGGCAGCCCTGTTTGGAGGCTGCACTCACAGGCACTGCTATTGTGCAACAGATGACACCAGATTCTTGGGATAGCTTTCCAGAAATGCACCATGGTTAGGGGAAAAGCTTTGTTCTTGCCCTGGCAATGGATTTGTTCAGGGCCAGGATCACAGGTTTGTTCCGAAGGCTGTAGATGAATGGATTTAAGAATGGGTACAGGACTGTGTTGAGCAGGGCTACAATTCTGTTGGTCCTCAAGGAAACATCTGCAGGACATGTGTAGAGAGCAATGCAGCTCCCATAGGCAATGGATAAGGTGATGAGATGGGAAGAACACGCAGTCAAAGCTTTCTTCCTCCCAGAGGCTGCTGGAAGATGCAGAACACAGAAAAGGATGCAGATGTAAAATGCCAGAGTCAAACCTAAGGAGCCCAGTACGACACACGGTAAGAAGACGGAGTCTATTTTCCAAAGCAGGCTGGTGTCAGAGCAGGACAGTTTGAACAAGAGGGAGTTGTCACAAAGGAAATGGGGGATCTTGGAGCCACAGAAAGACAGCTCAGAGAGGAAGAACAGCTGGTAGCTCAGCAGGGCAAAGCCGAGCACCCAGGCAGCAACAACCAGGTGGACAGAGAGCTGAGGCTTCATGATGGCAGCATGGAGCAAAGGTTGGCAGATGGCAACATAGCGGTCAAAGGACATGACAACGAGCAGGATGAACTCTGTGCAGCCCAGGGCGAAATAGAAATAGTTTTGGGCAAAGCAGCTGCTTAGTGAGAGAGTGTTCTGACCAGAGCTCAGCATCACAAACAATTTGCTGCTTGTGGAGGATGTAAACCAGATTTCCAGGAAGGCCAGGTTGCTGATAAAAAAGTACATGGGGGTTTGCAGGTGGTGATCCACACACACGAGGAAAATGATGGCTGCATTCCCCATCACTGTTGTCAGGTACATGAGCAGAAGGGCCCAGGAGAAAAATACCTGCAATCTTGGATCACGCTCTGGGAAGCCCTCTAGGATGAACTCAGTAACTGCTGTTTCATTTTCTGGTCCCATGCTGAATTCCAGCTCATCCTGCTGGGACAGGAACATGGCAAAACCAAGTGGGATAATTTCACAGCCTGGATAAACATTTCTATCTTTCCTTCTCTGCTTCTTTCTTTTCCTGCACTCTTGCTATAGAGCACAGAGATCTTGCTTCAAACAGTTCTCACAGCCTGATTGTTCTGTTTCCCATTTCAGGTAGAGACCTCAGAGATTTTATTGTGTTCTTTCTACCTTTTCCAAACACTCCCAAAGAACTCTGTCACCAGAGCAGAGGATTCTAAAGAGCTATTGGCTATTTCCCTCCATTCCTGGGAGTTTCCCAGCTCACTCAGACCTACTGCAAACATCTGTCACACCCATGTGCCCAACACCTCTCATCTACAGCACAAACACTAAACTGTGAAATTACGTCCAATCTGTGCATTGAACGTCCTTGTTTCACTTTTCAGTACTTGCCTTTGGACCAGGAGTCCCTGAGGATCTGTTGATTCCAAAATAATCAATCCAAAGTATCTCTTTTGCAACCCTCTGCTTTCTTCCACAGCTTTTTCCTCTCTGGCTCTTCAGGAAAGAAGAGCCTGCCCTGTCCCTCGGACGGTGCCAAGAGTAGCCCCGCTCTGCAGCACATCTTCCCCCAAACCAGAAACGGCAGCAGAGCCATCCTAACAGGCACATCAGTCCTGTCCTGGGTCAGCTTTAGGAGATCCCCGCAGCCAGAGGCTGACTGTGTCAGAAGTGGTGAAGATTTCTCCATGTATGAGCTCAGATATCTCCTTCCAGCTGCTTTGAGCCTCTGTCGCTTCACTGCCCTCAGGTACCTGCACGCAGTGCCCTCAGCCCTGCTGGGCTGGTAAAGGAGCTGCTCCTCAAGAGAAATGTCTTTTTGAAGCTCTTGGTTGCAAGGAGCCCAGCCCAGCTCAGCAGCACAGACACAGCACCAGGACTTTAATGACCATCTCAGGGCTTTGATGTTGTTTACATCAGACTCAGTCCCTGAGAGAGTGCTCAAAAACTTCTCAAGAAATAAAAGTTAAATTTAAACACTGAAGTTTCTTGAAGTTTTAATGGGTCCCACTGATGGACACAACGGAAAAAGTGTCCCCATGTTCCAGTTAGAGCAGAACACTGGAGGCACTGATGACAGGTGGGACAAACAAGGCAAAGGTGTCTCTGGTGCTGAGCAAACCTGGATGTGTTTCAGGAATGCAAAGGGCCCAGGCCTGAGTCCCAGCCTCTGGCAAGGCAGATCCTGTCCCTCCCTCATTGCTCAGGGCTCTTCCCGGGATGGGCACTGGGATGTGGGGATGTGCAGTGCCAAGGGCAGGACCATGGGGCGGCCCCTGCCAGGCTGCTGAGCAGGGACAAGGAGGCACTGAGGCCCCAGGGCTGCAAGGGTCACTTGTCCCCTCATGGCCTCAGCCCCGGGCCAGCAGCCACGGCCAAAGTGCTGCACAGGTTGGCTCTGTCAGGGCCTTGCAGCTGCTGCACATCCCTGTGCCCTCGGCAGCCCAGGCTGTCCCACGGTGTCCCTGCCCTGCGCCTCTGTCCCTTCAGGCTGTCGTCATCCCCGGCTGCCCCACCTCGCTGGCCCCTTCCTTTGCTGGCAGCTCTGCCTCCTGCTGCCCCTGCCTGGCCACACAAAGCCTTGGGCTGCTACCCAAAGGGTTCATTCCATTTTTACCCTGCCTGTGAACTTTCAGCACGGGAACAAGGCATGCAGGGGCTGCTTTCCCAGCAGGGATGGCTGGAAGAGAAGAAGAAGACATCTGGCTCAAGGGTGCAGTGACAGAGAAAATAAGGATTGTATCTGGGAATTTGGGATGGGTTTTATGGGAATGGATAAATTGTAATTGGCATTTAGGAACTGTATAAAAGCAACACACTGTTAGAATTACATGTCCACGTCAGATCAGGAGTTATCCCTCACTAGCCCTCAGGCCTGAATAAATGATACCCTCTGAAATAGCAAATGAGTGTTAAGTAGCCTCATTCTGGTATTTCCATGATTTGGTGACAGCGGGGCCTCACAGAACCCAGGAGTCAGCTGTGACTCTGTCCAAACTCATGGAACAAAGAGTCCATGGTGACACAGCAGAACCCTATGGAACCAAAATCCATTTTGGCACATTGGGGCCACATTGAACCAATGGTCCATTGTGATAGTGCAGATCCAAGGAGATCATTGTGACACTGAGAAACCTCTGGGAACCAAGGGGCCATTTTGACACAGCAAGTCCTCGTGGAACCAAGGGTCCCTTGTTAAACTGTTTGGCCTCATGGAACCATGAGCCATTGTGACACAGCGTGGCCACACAGAGCCAAGGGGCCACTGTGACACTGCACATCCAGGGAGACCATTGTGACTAAGGAACCTCATGGAACCAAGAGTCCATTGTTCCACTGTGGGGCTCTGTGGAACCAACGGGAGCACAGTGACATTGCGAGGTCTCATGGAACAATGGAGACTGTTCTGACTCTTTGGGACCTACTGGAACCAAGGGACCATTAGAGCATGGCAGGGCCTCATGGAATCAAGGGGACTACAGTGAACACTGTGGGTGTCCATGGGATGAAGGGTCCGTTCTGACACCATGGGACAAAGGATGCCATTGTGACACTATGGGGCATCATGGAACGAAAGGTCCCTTGTGACACAGCAGGGCCTTATGGAACCATGGAGGCCATTTTGACACTTTGAGACCTTGTGAAACCAAAGGGCCATTGTGGCACTTCAGGGCCTCTTGGAGCCAAAGGGACCACAGTGACACTGTGGGGCTCAGTGAAACCAATGGTCTGTTGTGACACTGCAGGGCCTTATGGCATCATGGAGACCACTGTGACACTACCGGCCCCATGGAACCACGGGGCCATTGTGACACGACAAGGCCTCATGGAAGCAAGGGGCCACTGTGACACCGTGGGGGCATGGCAGGCCAAGGGGCACTTGTCGCACTGTGTGGCACCATGGAACCAAGGAGTCCATTGTGACACTCCAGGGCCTCATGAAACTCAGGATCCATGGAACAGTGCAGGACTCCATGGAACCAAAGGCCCATCGGGACATTGTGGGCCCTCATGGAATCCTGGAGACCATTGTGACACCTTGAGGCCTTGCTGGATCAAGGGGCTCTGCAGGGCCTCATGGAACCAAGGAGACCCTTCTGACATTGTGAGTCCCCGTGGAACCAAGGGTCCATTGTGATACTGCGGCACCAAGGAGATCCCTGTGACATTGCAAGGCCTGATGGAAGCAAGGGACCATTGTGACACTCTGGAGCCCCATGGAAACAAGAGGCCAGTGTGACACATCTGGGCCTCTTGGAACCAAGGATCCAATATGACACCGCCATTGTGACACTGCAGTGCCCCGTGTAAACAAGGGGCCACTATGACACTGTGGTGGCCCATGGAAACAAGAGCCCAGTGTGACGAAGCTGCCAGGACAGACAGACAGGCATGGCCTTGGCCACTGGTGGCTGCAGTTCATCAGCCTCGGAAACACTGGGGCTCCGTTGTTTTCTTCCTGTGCATAGCATTGTGACATTGTGGGGACGCCAAGGATCCAAGGGACCATTGTGAAACTGCGGGGCCTCGTGGCACCAAGGACATCACTGTGGCACTGCTGGGCCACGTGGTCCCAAGGGGCCAGTGTGGCGCAGCAGGGCTTTGTGGAACCAAGAGGCCATCTCAGGTATTTAAGGGTCTCATGGAACCAGAGGGCCATTGTGATCCTGTGGGGCATTGTGGATCCATGGAGAGCATTAGGGCATTGCAAGGCCCCATGGAATCATGGAGACCATTGTGAGACACTGTGGGGCCCCACAGAACCAAAAGGCCATTGTGACCCTGCAGGGCCTCATGGAAGCACAGGGCCATTGGGACACTTGAGAAGCAAGGAGAACATTGTGACATTACAGGGCCTGGTGGAACCAAGGGAATATGGAATGGGTCTGGGTGTTTTGGCCTCCCAGGGACCACCTGACAGGTCCAGCTGATCTTGGAATGCCTAGGACTGCCTCTCATCAGCCCCAGGAGACCTGCAGCTCTGTGCCTTCCTTCCTACTAAAAAGAACCATCCATCTTTCCAGGTGCCCATGGCCAAAATTGGTACTCCTGAAAAATTCCCTATATGCAAGGGTTCTCCCAGACAAAAGATGCCAGGACAGAGAGCTCTGGCTGGCCATGGCCTCTAGTGGTCACCTCTTATCCGAAGGAAGCCCTGAAGAAAGTATCTGAACAGGTTTGACCACTGAGACATGAATGATTCTCTCATCCTCTGAAAAACTCAGATACTCTTCTGATCATATGTGTCTTTTCTTTCTCATTTTGTGTTATGCATGAAATATTATTTTCACCTAAAATATAGTATTCTTCTTACTTTACCAGTGTTTTCAGACACAAAACAGGTCGTCTACATATGGATCCAGGTCACCTGTACAAGCAAACACAATGAAGAATGCAGCAGGAATGATTTGTCTCTGCTTCCATCTATCACATCTCCTCTGGAGCTGGAGGTGCAGCCCCAGCACTTGGGAGGGCTCAGGGGGTCACCAGCTCAGCTCCCACACACAGAACTTGCTGACCCTGGGAAGCTGTCCTTGGCCCCTGCCCGCTCAGCCAGGCTGAGATGGACACTGATGGTTTCTGTGCCAGGCTCTCCCAGCCCAGCCCAGCTCCCTGCAAGCTCTGCCAGCTGCCCTGAGCTCTGGGCAGCACCAAGGGCCTCTCCCCAGCACAGCCCAGCCGGCTCTGGCCCCACAGCTCCGCTCAGGCCAGGCTGCTCTGGGCACTGCCCCACGGCCTCAGCCCCTGCCAAGGGCACAGCAGCAGCTGCAGCTCAGCCAGGACTCAGCCCCACCATGGGGGAACGGGCCTGGCCAAGGCAAAGGAGGCTCCCTGGGTGTCCGGCTCTCCCCTCCAGGAGATCTGAGAGCTCTGTAGCCCCTCCTGCCATCTTGTCTGCCCAGGCCAGCACAAGAGCCCCGGCCTTGGGGCCCTCCAGAGCTGCTCCTGCTCCA